TCTATCTTCTTATTTTCTTTTCTTTCTTCTTCTTTATTTCATATAATAATAATATTATTATTTAAATTTATTTATTTATTTCAATTTTTACTATTAATCCATTTATTTTTACTATGTTGATTTTTTTAATCTCACACCTATTTTTCTTTATAAAACTAATTACAAATTTTCAAACATATCCTTCAATTTCTAATAACTAAATTTAATATATATGTGTATATGTATCAATATTTCATATAGTGTTCAATTATGTAACTAATATTAGATTTGGTTATTAATTATTAATAAAACATAAAATTAAATAACGTTGAACTTCAATTTACTAATTCAAATTATTTTCATCAATCTTTGTTATATATTTCTACCGACATCGATATTTTCATAAGTTACTCATATTTTTACATTTGATAGATAAAAAGTGATCAATTATAAGCTACAATTAAAATTTTATTTAGTAATTAAAATAATTTTTATTAATTTTCATAATTTCCATAATTTTTTCCCAAATATCTATCGACATGTCCGTAATATAAGGACCGACATTTTGAACCTTGGATGAAAGTGGAATTTTATTCAGGGGAACCATACGTTGACATTGGGGTGCAAGTTGAGATAAAAAAAAAAAACCAAAACATTCTATTGCATTTTCAACTATATTGTGGATTCATTTTTCTAAAGTATACAACTGAAAATAGCCAATTCAATTTGATTTTGGTAGATTTTGTTAGTTATTTTTTGAATTAAGCTAGGAGGTTTAGGCCATCATTGAGGGTGTCAATTTCCCCACGGGACGAGTTGAGAATGATTCTAGGACAGATGGAAAGAGGTTCATCAATAAGCCTTTGTGGTTATTTTTTCGTTAAACTAAGCACAATTTAAAAGATGTCAACTTGAATATAGTTCAAGCACTTGAATATAGTTCAAGCACTTTGAGATTGAACCTACCATTTTTATTTTTCATTTGGACATCATTGGATAACCATTTTGCTTCCTATTTTCTATGGTTTAAAAATTAAACTTCCAATCACTACTTCCACGTATTTCTTTGTCTTATTATTAACCTTTTAAAAAGGTTTTTTAAATCTAAGCCAAGCGGTTTCCAAATACTTGTTTTTGTTTTTTAAAATTTAGGTAATATGTTCAAAAGAAATGTGACCACACACAAAAGAAATTGTAATAAAATAAGCATAATTTTATTAAACAAAAAACTAAAAACGAAATCTTTATGAGACGGAACCTTAGAGTTCTACCCAACACGTCCTATATTTTTTCTGAAATTGGATCTCAAAAATTGAAAATTTTTAGTTCAAAGGGTCATCCAATTTTGTCATTGACCAACTAAGCAATAAACCAATTGAACACATTCAACGTATAAGAAGATTGTTCAAACTTTCTAAGTTGGATTTTTAGGTATAATGAGCAATGTAATTCCTTGATTCAATTTTAAAGAGGTAAAAATTGTAGATTTAGAAAGTAAATTACTCAAGTAATCTAACTTGAAGCCAAGTCTACAAAAATTTGAGTCGTGTGTATCACCAATAATCCTTACATGAACAACTACCAGCTTCAAAACAATGAAATCTATTTGAATCTCTCACAATTATTTTCCTGTTGGTAATCTTGGAAATAAACTTCATTGCATTATGACAATCAACACAAGTTCTTAGATTCTTGAAAACTTTGATTGGCGTACCTGGAGGTGTTGAAATGATTCCAAATGCAACTGCAAGTTTCTCACTATGGTAAGAAAGGTTTTGTTCCTTCTGCTCCAATTCCACATCATGTAGCACAAATTTTGTATCAGGTACATGGCCAGCTTCTTTCATTTTCCTTGACAGCTCGCCCAAATACTCGAGTATTTCGTTCACTTTCGGATGTGAGTTATCTCCGACTGCGAACACGTGAACTTCTCTCTTGATCTCAATCCAACTCAAACCGGGCTTCTTCACTATTCCCCTGTTATCCATGGTCTTCCTGATCTGTGCTACTTCAGCCCATTTACCAGCAGTGGCATAGATATTGGCCAGAGTAATGTAAGTGGCTGGATTCTCAGGTTCTATGTCAAATAAAGCTTTTGCTGCTCTTTCTGCTAGTTCAAGGTTACCATACATTCGACAACCACCTAGTAAAGAAGCCCATAAAAACTTGTCTGGCTTCATAGGCATTTTGTTGATTATGCTCTCGGCTTCTGTAAAGCGGCCAGCACGGGCCAATAAGTCGATTATACAAGCATAGTGATCGGCAGTGTGTGTCAAACCATGCTTTTCCTTGATGGAGTGGAAGTACTCGAGTCCTTTATCGACTAGTCCGGCATGAGTACAAGCAGAAAGAACTCCGACAAAAGTAATATGATCTGGGTTGGTGCCTGATTTAAGTAGCAATTCAAAGAAATGGAGAGCCTCGTTGTGCTGACCGTTTTGTGCATGACCAACGATCAAGGAAGTCCAAGAAACCAAATCGGGTTGGGGCATCCCTTTGAATACACTTTTGGCATTCTCGATATTCCCGCACTTCGAATACATATGAACAAGAGCACTAGCAGCAAATGAAGATGGGTCAAATCCTACACGCATCATGAAGGCATGAATTTGCTTACCCAAATCCTCTGCAGCATGATCGGCACAAGCATTCAAGACACCAGCAAATGTGAACTCATTTGGTTTGATATTTGAACTCATTAAGTGTCGAAATAGAGCAAATCCCTCTTCCCTCCTCGCATCTTCAAAGTACCGATCTATCATTGCTGTCCATGAAACAATATCTTTATCGACCATCTTGTCGAAAATGTATCTAGCTTCCTCTATGCTTCCACATTTCCCATACATATCCAAGAGGGAGCTCCAAACTACCTCATCTGAATCCAACCCCATTCTCATAATATGACCATGCATCTCCTTACCCATGTGTAAACTTCTAATAGCTGCTGAAGCAGCAAGAGCACTAGATACAGTGAATTTATTGGATTTTGAGTTCTCATGTTTTTGCATCAATCTATACAACTCTAAGGCCTCTTCGGCACGATTATGTCGAACACATCCCGATATAATTGCTGTCCAAGAAAAGTTATCTCTCTCAGGCATTTTACCAAACAAGTTCCTTGCTTTTTCAAAATTCCCCCCTTTGACATAACCAGAAATCATAGTATTCCAGGAACACAAATCCCTTTCCATCATTTCGTCAAACAGTTTCTGGGCTTCCACCAAACTCCCACATTTAGCATACATATCAAGCAAACGATTCGAAATGTATAATCCGGGCACGAACCCGGAGGCTTTGATGTGGGCATGGACTTGTTTACCCTCTTCAAGAGCTCGTTGATGGAGACAAAATTGTAGTAAAGTTGAGTAAATTGAAGCACAGGGTTTCTCGAGGTGATAGAGCAATTGAACTGCCTCTCTTAAACATCTTTGCTCGCAGAGAATAGCTATAGCCTCTTTGAACTTCTTCTCATTACAAAGGCGGTTTATGTTGGCATCTTTTCCATTAAACAAGATAAACTTTTTCCCTATATGGGTTTGAGAAGGAGTAGTAAAATCTCTAGTTAGGATTCTTCGAGATAAATGTGGAACAACTTTATGGAGCAGAAATGTCATAGCTTATAGAGTAATTGATGAAAGACAGAGAAGGATTACTTCATATCCTCGATCTCAGAAAGGGCAAACGGTACAAATTCAGCACCTGAAATCTCTACAGAGAAAAAAACAGAATGAAAAACAAAAAATACCAAAAGCTCAAGTTGCTGAAATGATTACCTACATGTTAGAAAATGCCCCAATTCAGTTTCTCTGTTCTGATTTCATATACATATGCATTACATCAGTCAACACAAACACCCATATGGAAATAACAATGAATTTCAACGCGCAGAGGATGTGGGAAAACAAGATCAAAATCGAATTTGATTTTCGGGGAAGGATTAGAACATAAAGGTGAATTGTAGCTGAAGGGCAAAAAATACACATCAAAGTCCAATAATTTCGTTGACGAAAGAGAGCAAAAAAGTAGAGAAACCTTGCAGGGACTGAGATGAAGTGGAATAGAAGAAGAATCCTTCTCCGTCAGTCCGCCGAGAGAGAGTAAGAAACATTACGCGGATGCGATTCGCCATTGCTAGAACTAGAAGAGACTACAGAAAACCTAAATCAG